ATAGGCAAACACGGTCGATGATAAATCCCAACCGTCAGTTGAAATTTGATGAATATGATATTCAAGAGTTCATGTTCAATCAGCAAGACGTAAGAATACTAAAAGAAGACAGGTTGATGGAAAATCATTACTATCGCTCTTTCCTAAGATGGAAACTACAGCAATATCTATCCGATGCCGGGTTCTTAGCATTGAATGATTTAGAATCGAAGTATGGTATTAAATGCCCGAAATTATCGAAATTACGAGAACTTCGAAAAGCCTATTCAGAATGGATCCCTTTAAGAACAACAACGTGGGGATCGTACATGCATGTCAAACATGCAATCACATTACTGACGGAGATTAATCCCGAAATACTGGATAATTTAAAAGACAAACACACATTACATTTTCGTCTGTGTCAAGATGGCACGTGGTTTGGCCGATACCTAAACTGTATAGTATCGGCATTGGGTTGGGTGGATGCTGGTGAACATTCTCAAAACGCATTTAGTTTGATTCCATTATCCTATGTTAGCGTGACTAAAGAAAATCGTGATAATGTTGAACAAGCGTTAACGACAGAATTCATCAACATGTTCAAGCCAGGACAAGTGATGGAAATTCGTGGTGTGGAATACAATATTCTATTTTCCTATTCAGCTGATTATAAAATGGTAGCACAAGTTATGGGTCTAGCAGGTCCATGCTCAGATCATTTTTGCAATTGGTGTAGAACTAAAAAACTAAAATTATCGGGTATGAGAAAATTGGTGTACGAAAACGGTTTTGGTAATAATGTAGCATTTTGTATTACAGACAAACTACAAAAACACAGTTACAAGAGTTATGATGACAAGGATAAAGCAGCTGAGGAAGAAAATATTAAAAATTATGATCAAGTAATACTATAATATTACGAAAATTTTGATAGTAAAGCACTGCGCGGATGTAAATTGCACAGAATATTTTTGAACTGAATATGACTTCAGTCTTTTTTAGTTTCGAAAAACATAGTAATTGGCTCCTATTACCGGCGTCAAAATATAGTGCAATCAGTCTTTTTT